TATATATATATATATTCCATCCTGACATAAAGGAAAATTATAATCTCGACGATATTCTTAATAATTCCTAACTCAATGCAGCAGTGTGCAAACTAAGAGTGATTTTCAGTTCACTATGGCTTAATACCGACCTAGCACGGTTAACTAGTTCACTAGTTACTAGCCGGTCCTAAACCTGGGTAAAGAGGGAAGGTTGGACTTAGGGCTAGCAACCCTACTCCAGAAAACCAATCCAACCGCTAAACAAACTTCAAAGCACACACAAAATACAAAAGATAAGAACAAGCTTATTCCTCGCTGGAATGAGAGTGACCAAATGACGCCGGTTGGTGAAAGCCTGTCTTCGGGAAGCCAATTGGCCGATGAATCTTCTCTCCCTCGATGAAAGAGAAAGTATACATGGAGACATGGAATGTCCGCACAATGTTTGAACGTGGCCAGGCTGCCCAGATTGTGAAGAAGATGAGAGGCTATCACATTGAAGTGCTTGGAGTTTGCGACAGCAGATGGAATGGGAGTGGACTCTCCAAACTGTCAACTGGAGGTTCAATAATCTACTCTGAAATTTTCACCCAGATGACAACCACGAGCGCACTGAGTTTTCGAGTGGCTATAATGATGTCCCCAACAGCATCGAAGGCTCTCATGAAGTGATAAACCAATCTCCTTCAGGATCGTGACAGCAAGGCTCAACTAGAATGGAAGGATAGTCACAATCATACAATGCTACGCACCTACAAATAATGCAGATGAAGAGAAGAAGGATGAATTCTACAAACAACTACAATCAACACTGGGCAAGACACCACCTCAGTTGGCAACATCGAAATTCTACTGGGCAAAATAAATGCCGAACTTGCAGTGAACAACATGGGAAGAGAACTAACCATGGGTTGAGAAGCGCTCGATGAGGTGATGAACGAGAATGGAGAATTGTTTGCAGAATTCTGCACATTCAACGATGTGGTGATTGGAGGCGAGACAGTGTGTGTGTTCAAGCACAAGGATATCCACAAGTCAGCGACATGGATTTCACCAGACACCAGGACACACTACACTAAAAATCAGATCGACCTCATCTCAATCTGTGGAAATTGGAGATGCAGCCTACTGGACACAAGATCAAGAAGGGGAGCAGATGTAGGTTCACACCACTCACTGTCTAGTGCAAGGAACCTACCTTCAAAATCAAGTTGAAAGCCTTCAAGGGAGTTGGTGACAGACCACAGTTCAAGTTGAACACCCAGAACAGGAACTGAAGGACGAAACTACAAAAGACATCTTCACGTCAGCCAGGCATCAAGACGAAATGGGAGATATCGAGCAACATCCCTGAAGAAACCTGTGTGGATGAGCACTGGAATTCTTTGGAAGAGATGTGGAAAGAAACCTGCATAGTGGTGTTAGGAAGAAGATAGAAGATAAGGAATGGACCTCGACGGACACACGGAAGCTGATAGGGGATTGAGAGGAGGATGGTGAAGCAGAAGATGAACCAGTGCAGAGCAGTGCAGTGCAGTGCAGGGATGAACAGCGGAAAGAGAAGCTGAACACAACCTATGAAACACTACACAGGACAAAGAAGTGGAGAAGAGTGTGCCCAAAGACAAAAGACACTTCCACGACACACTGGCAAGTGAAGCAGAACAGGCTGCAGGTAGGAGGTACCTGACAACATTATTTGTATCGAATAACCAGGTTACTATCTGGAAGGGAAGAGATCAACATAGATTAAACCAATAAGAGATGATGAAGGAAATTTAATTGCCGAAGAAGAGAAGCAAAGGAAACGATGGGCCGACGACTTCAAGATGCTCTTGAATCGACCACCACCACCACCACCACCACCACCACCACCACCACCAACAACAACAACAACAACAACAACAACAACACCACCTGCACTTCGTCCAGAAATACCACCTACAGCCGCTGAACAACTACAAGTGAACATAAATCCTCCAGCAAAAGTGGAAGTCCTGAACGCCATAAAGCTACTGAAATGTGGGAAAGCAGTAGGACCAGATGGTATCCCACCAGATGCAATGAAAACAGACGCAGAGACAACAGAGGATATGCTCACACCACACCATTATTGCAGAAGGTGTGGAAGGAAGGGAAGGTGGCTGGCGATTGGAAGAACGGCTGCCTTGTCAAACTCCCAAAGGAGGGAGACCTCAGTGTTTGCAATAACTGGTGAAGAATCACGCTCCTGTCCACCCGGAGCAAGCAAAATATGAGACCGCATCATCCTGGAGAGACTAGAGAATGCACTCGATTCAAAGGTACGACGAGAACAGGCTGGCTGGCTGGCTGGCTGGCTGGCTGACTGGATTCAGGAAGTACAAATCATGTGCCGACCAAATTGCAACGCTTCGCATCATCAACGAACAGAGTAGAGAATGGCACTCAACCCTCCACCCTTCTTCAACTTCATCGACTTTGAAAAGGCCTTTGACAGCGTCGACCGAGAAGTAATTCGGCAACTGCCTCAATACTACAGAATACCGCAAACCTTTATCACCCTCATTCAACAACTACATGAAGGGGCCACATGCCAGCCAAGTAATTCACAATGGGAAGCTCAGTGATGCCTTCGAAGTGAAGTGAAGACAGGAGTGAAACATGGTTGCCTACTATCCCCTGTGATATTCGTGATTGTGGTGGACTGGATCATGCAGCAAACAGTGAGGAGCTAGAAGAGGAGGATATGCTTGATCACGGAAAAGAACATAGAATATTTGGATTTTGCTGATGACTTGTGTCTGATGTCACAGAAACTCGAAGATCTACAGGAGAAAACTAACAAGTTGACAGAAGAGTCAGGGCAGCGAAGATGGGACTTCAAGTGGACGTATAGAAGACAGAGGTGATGGAGATACCCAACCAACACCACCACCACCACGAACAACAACAACAACAAGCTTCAATCACCATCAACGAGAGAAACTTGAAGGCAGTAGCCTCCTTCACTTATCTAGGCAGCACTGTTTCAACTACAGGTAGTACAGACGAGGACGTCAAAGTCAGAATCGGAAAGGCAAGACAGGCATTCATTAGCCTGAAATCAGTGTGGAGATCTACTGCACTGCACTCAGCATGTGGAACGAGATCCGGATTTTCAACACCAATTCAGTCAAGTCATTGCTTCTGTATGTTTCAGAGACTTGGCGCGTCATGAAAGGCATTTCCAACAAACTGCAGACATTCATCAACAAGTGCCTACGCTGGTTCGTTACTGAGGCTCAGGTGGCCAGAATAATAAGAATGAGCGACAAGGAACTGTGGCGTGGCAAAGAACTAACAAATATGCAGGAGGAATTGGAGATGGATTAGGCATACACTGAGAAGGCCGACTGGGGACATCACGCTCCAGGCCAAATCCTCGAGTGGAACCCCGATGGGAAACGGCGAGTTGGGCTTCTGAGGTGGGGGTGACATGGGGGAGATCGTGTCTGAATAAATGAGAGCTTGTGGGCTGTTGTGCAGTCAGGTTCAAAAGATTGCAGCGAAGAGGTTTGAATGGAGACGTGCTGCTGAATGCCTATGTTCCACTAGGAACCCAAGGGACAAATAATTAATAATAAGAGTGGCTTTGTATCACTAACCCACTTTAATCTTTGATATCCTTTCATATAATAGGCAATATTGTCTTCAGTATTAAACAGTCTATCAAGGCGTGGCTCAGTAACCAAATTAGAAACTTGGAAGCAAAGTGTTCTAGTAATCTCAAGTTTGAATGTTAACCGCTTCTATTGTCAGGAAATTTCTGAAAATACGTAATATATCAGACAAACCTCAAACAAATTCCAGTGGTGCTCCTTGGAAGAATCAAACAGTGCATCTCATTTAACGAAGGACCATTTATCTATAAAAATCCACCAACCCTAAGCACTTAAGGGAAACTTCCGTTCAAATACGTTGATCGATTGTCCATCTCTGTTTTGTTTGCAAATATTACTAAGTTTCATTATACCTGATAGTACTGGCACGAATGTAGTTTCAACTTACTCATTTACAGCCACAACAAGTTTTGAATGCATGCATATTTACTACAGTCATCATCACAAGAAGACTTAATCACTGTTGTTATACCTTCATTTACACATAAATGTTTGATAACTATCCTAACAATTATTCAGTTCGGATTTGACCTACTAATTATGGTCTTTCTGAATAAAAAGAGCTCCCAAATGGTCTCAACATAAGAAGAATCAAAGCAGAAACGACGTTCTATACCGCAATGAAAAAAAACAAGTGAACGCATAACTACTGAGATTCAATCAAGTTTATCACAGGATGATGCAATTAAAAGTAAATTCTTGAGAACGGTAATTAAGACCAAATCTTCTCAAGCTTCAGAATATAACTAACAAAAATTGATTCACAATGTTAATCAAAGATAGCCTAATTAGACCGATTTGACCTAAGTATTGTGTTGACGCTACGTCACTACCTCAAATATTTCGGATTCCAATTTGACAGTATTTAATGTCAAATTTTGTGTGCGTGCCTCATTCTACATGGAACTATACACTGAATGTTTCAGTTTTTCACTTTCCGTGTTTACAATAAAGTCACATCTTAGCTGTCACAACTCTGAATATCATGATACTATCCTCTGGTTTGGCCTAGCAGACACTGTTCTATAGGACTTTGCAATTTCCTGTTGCCATATGTCTAATTTCACTATGTAAATCGATGAAACCAGAAACGCTACCCAGACGACTGGTATAACCATAAAACGAATACATTACTTCATCGTATACTAACCAAATTGTCGCATTCAAAGACGTTTGAACGTATTAAAGTAACGTCGTACTTTGTGAGTGTTACTTCGATTTTACAAAAGTTGCATCCTTTGCTTGGACAACCTAAACAGTACTCAATTCCTATTGCTATTCTTTTGTTGGAGAGAAACTTGACTGATAAATCCGAACAACTTAGTATTTATTTTAAATGGTGTGATACAAGAAAAGAGAAAAAGCAAAAATGGAATACATGGACAATGAATTTATTTTAATTAATGCAAAGAACAACGATAAATGCATTACAAGTTATCGATATTGTGCCTAAAATATAAGAAGAAAAGAAAATGAGAAATCAGATAATTAAGGATGGTTACTTAAATATATGTATTCATTTTGATACGAACAGGCAAACGATAATTTATGTAAACAAAATCAGCTGTTAACATAATTAATTAAACCACTAAATGTTAACGCATAGTGATCATTTACTCCATACCTTACTTGAACTCCTTGCGCAAACATACTATTGGTATTTCAGAAGATTTAGTTTATAATCCTCCAGTATAAAATTAACATGGTGTTGTCAGATCACAACGATATAGTTCAGTAACTTAGTAAAGGTTTATTAACTAGTCAGTAAGACACAAATCATATATGAAAGTTTATCAGACTCGTTGTGTAGTAATTGACTGTCTCACGCCAACTCCATCGAGTCATAAATTTATTGTATAAGGCCATAGATATTCATGCTTAACTCTAAATAGGATAACGACTCATTAAAGCTTCACAGATACTTGCACAATATATAATTCAAGTGTTTCTCCTTTTCATAATGTTTCGGTCAAACTAAGCTGTTGAGCACTTATTAATGCAACCAACAGACTACAAATGTTATCAAAAGAGATGATCTCTTCTTAACTGACAGTTAGAGAGAATTGAGGACCTAAGGATTAATAATGCACGTGCTACGAACAAGGAAATAAATCAATTTAAATTAAAACTTTATGACAATATGCCGGAATATTTTCAGACTATAATATACTCATTTCAGTTAACAGTGGGTTATTTGCGTGTTTTTATTCCTCAACAATATCCAGAAGGAGGTAGAGATGGAGTAGGCATACACTGAGAAGGCCGACTGGGGACATCACGCTCCAGGCCAGATCCTCGAGTGGAACCCCGATGGGAAGCTACGAGTTTGGCATCTGAGGTGAAGGTGACATTGAGGAGTTTGTGCGAGGAGGAAATGAGAGCTTGTGGGCTGTTGTGTAGCTAGATTCAAAAGATTGTAGAGAAGAGGGTGGAATGGAGACGTGCTACTGAAGCTATATGTTCCATTAGGAACCAAAGGAATAAATAATAATAATATCAAGGGGGACATTTAACCAATTGATGCTCATAGGCATTCGGTTAGTATGAAGGTAAATTTTCAAGAATAACATCAGTTGAGAGTAGAAATGTCTAGAACAGCTACAATGGGCTTATTTAAATCTTCCCGTCTGTTAAGTTTCTTGGCTGATTTTTGGAAACATATTGCAAAGGCTTTGGTACTATGGCTGTCGACTGGATTTTGAACTCTACGATTTCCTTTCTAAAGGTTGACTTTTTCCCTCAATGATTGACGGTACTTCAAAATAAGGATTACCTCCAATAGTTAGAATAATTTATATTGTAGACTGTCGAAACGAAAAATACTGAGAATAAACTATATGATGTTTGATTTATTTTATAGTTAAACGAGTATCCATTTAGCTCAGGGTTTATGCACAAAAGCAACCAGGCACTAAAGGTTATTTTAAATCCATAATCAGAAATTTTTGATCATATTTTTAAAAAAAACATTTAAGTGACAACCAAAAATAAATAAAACCGTTTTGGCGTTCTCATATCTAGTCGAAATTTAAACAGTATGAATTTCGACAAGATGCATTCCTTAAGACTAAAATCGGATTTGAGAATTTTCTCCAATGTTTAATGAAACGAATACTGAGAACGAAAAAGATACATTTTAGACGGAAAACCATATAAGTAGTCTAGTTGAAGTAGTTTCTTGGTGATAAATGCCGATGTTACCACTTCAAGCAGCTACGAATTGTTTGTAGTTCTCAGCAGTCACATACAACAAAGAGACAACATGAAAAATTGAAATCGAGCATTTTCGTAAAAATAATTATGAAATAAATCCGTATGTGTCAACAGAAGAAAACTACGCACCGCTATATTTTCGTAAATATTGACACAGTTGTAGAAGGTTGAGAACTGTATAGTTTTTAAGATAGTATTCAGCACGGACCGATATCAATTAGTGAACTATTGAAAACCTAGGAGCACTGACCAGCTGTTTCCGCCTTGCTTAGAACTCTTCAGTAGGTAGCATCCATGATCTCACAGTAACATTCAGCTACCGAGTGAAAAACGTTTCATCCCTAGTTTTCTTATTCTATCAACTGGCTATATAGCATGACCGTCACACTACGCTATCGGAGAATATTTGTCCTCACACCCGAATTTATTGAACCCATAATTAACAGTTTTCCACAAGAACTGCGGGAAATCCATCTTGAATCATATCAATCATGAGCACTTGACTGTTTTCTGCTGAGGTTATAAAAGCATGAAATCAGTCTTTTGTACACCAATATATAGGTAAACAAAAACAAGTGAACACTAGATAACAAACATTTATCCTGAAAAAAAAATGCTATAACTACTTAACTTGGCCTGCTCTATGTTAAAAATCAATTCCTGTTTCAACTAATGGATGTAATGTTTGACCTTTTCTTACTTCTGTATCAGATTATGAACCAGGAGATAAATTCGTATCAAGAATAAACATGGTTTTAACATTTAATGAAAAAATAATACATAATTAAGTAGAACAAGTTTTTCTACCTTAGTCAAATGTTAAAGCTAAATAAAGCAAGATGGATAAGTACCTTGTAATAGTTTCAGTCAGTCTGTATCTAAGCAACTGATCAAAATAATGAAGTAGCAATAATGACAGCAATATATAGTAAGATAAAATGTTCTTTTCAACTTCATTTTCTTAGCGTCTCAGTGTGTATGGGTGTTTTAAGAAATTGTTTCAGAATATGAGGTAAGGATACTAGTTATCGAAACTGTATAACTTTAGATTTTAACTAGATTCTAGTTTACATGAAAAAGTTCTGAGTTTTATTTTCCGTTAGTAGTGAGAATAATGTTGGATTATTTGGTTTGGAGAAGGTTCTTAACAAATTTATTCATACTGGGTGATAATAGAAAGTGAAATAAAAATTTGGACAGTGGTTGGATTAGGGTCAGCGACCACCGGGTTTCCATCCCCGGTGGTATACCAAATGAGCTACGAGGTCCGACTGCTGACCAAATTTTTATTTCATGAATTCCCATGGTAGTCGGGTAAGACCCCTTCGTGATTGAAGTGAAATAAAAATCTGGTCAGTAGTCGGACCTTGTAGCTTAGTTGGCACAGCATCAGGACAGAAACCCGGTGGTAGCTGGTTCGTTTTTGACCACGATTCAAATTTTCATTTCATCTTCAATCATCGCCCAGTATAAACAGTAGTCTGCCAAACCACCACTATCTCAGATAGTCAAAATGATAACAAATTTATCTGTCTATGCATTCAATGTTTCCTATTTGTCCTGTTTCCAATCAGCAAAGACAAAACACTTTGCCTTATCAATCACTTTTCATTCATCTAGGTGACTAGCTTAACCACATCAGTTCACCGTTTACTGAACTTCACAGAATTATTATTTTTCGAAAATTAACAGCATGTTTTCAGGTTATAATTATTGTGATTCACCTCAATATGAAAAGCGCCTCATTTTTGTTTCTTCATCTTAGAAAACGAAATGCAAAGAATTTCTCTTCGTGTATTAAAAACAATTTTCTAATAGTTAAATCCTTGAACACTTTTGCAGTCAAGTAAAATAGCCTGATGTTTAAAAAAGTATGCTGCAGTTGTGACTTATTGTTCTCACGTGAATACAACTGCAGCCCATCTGAAACCTTAATGATCCACTTCCAAATTTTGATTTCCAGATTTCTTTATTTCTTAATTGTCAATTGTCTTTTGCTGTTAAATATAACTACAATCTTCGACCTTTCTGCATTAGAAGCTCAACCTATTGTATGATTCTTTTCCCTTCTAAATTCTGTTACTGATTGTGTGGACTACGAGTGCCAAACTAACCTACACCCTTCTGTTTGCCACCGGACAGGTGCATAACTACAGGTTTATACGGAAAACTGCCTACAGCTTGTCGTTACAAACCATTTTTTCTGCCTTAAACCCATTTTGTCGAAATGTCTAGTTGGCTTATTTTCTTACCAACAAATTATCGAAAACTCATGATAACTAATATGCATTTAGTTACTTCCAAGTGGAATATGTTTGAATCGTTGTATATATGAGCCTTTTTACAAGATGCAGTATCTTAAAGTGACTACCTTAGGCTGAATAGTCTATGACTTAGAATCTGTTATATTCACTTAATTCTGAGAATCGAAGGTGGAAATATTTTAAGGTGATCAACATTTTGTCTATAAAAATACTTATATACCACATTCACGAACCAAAACCCACAGAGTTGCTTTTTATAAATCTTCATTGACATTTGCATGATGCCAAAAACTTAGTTGGTGAAACATTCCGTCCATGAAGTCAATGAAAATGAAAACACTAATACAGTTTGTTTAGCGTAATTGCAGAAGATGAAAATAAAGTCTCGAAATACTGCATAATCTTTACCTCAAACTATTTAGGTTCAGTCAACGCATGTTTTATGCATACTTAACCCGAATACATAACATTGCCGATTACAAATTCAACTTCGAAGTCCATACGAAGCTATTCAGCATTCATATATTGTGTAGCTTTTCTTCATATGTAGGTGTTTATTAATGTTTTTCATTGACATCACATACTAGTTTAAGTAATATTACTATACTTTAAAACAAATGTAAGTAAAAGCCAAGAAAGGTGTGGAAATCTCAGCTTACTGTGGATATAGGAGATAAAAAGTGAATGGAAAGTCAATCTAGGGTTTGAGAAATTGAATGGTTTTCTGTCACAGGATAGTTGAGTATATTTCGAAACAACCGATGTTGAAATGAAACTAAATAAGTCCCTGTTGTTCTTAGGTGAATGACAGATTCGCAAAAATTCTGGCCAGTAGTTGAAGGTGTGCTGTAAACCTAAATCACCGCTTTTTAATCTGAATTCCTTTGGTAATTAGACTATTAACATACGTTTGACTGCAATGTCTTGAGAAGTGTGAAGTGTGTGTGGGAGTGATAAACCAAACTATAAAATTGGCAAACCATATCCTGATTTAGCCAAAATGTGGTGCTGTTGTGACATGTTCTTATGATAGTGCATACTTTTCTCCTCTTAATAAGCTTACAGATGTAGCTTCAGAAGTAATCGAAAATATCAAACACTACAAACGCAAACAAATAACAGTCAGTTTCCGAATGCAGCCAGAAGGTGAGAAGTGTCATTATGTGATCAGTTAATATGAATTGTGAAGATATTCTCGCTTCAAAAATGTTTTCAAGTAAGCCATCGAATGCCTTAAGCTTAAGAGCAACCACTTTCTCACCAACAAGAAAAATGTTTTAGTATTTTGAAGGTTGGACAGCATACTTTTGAATAAAATTCTTGCACACTGAACTATTCTTGTCTAATTACCTGCAAATATCTGTAAACTTTAAGAATGTAAAAGCTAAAGTAATTGCTTGCATAACTGGAAAATAACCAGGATCGAAGTTGATTCCTGTTTCTGAATGAACTGTGTCTTAAATCTTATTTTTGTTTACTCAAACACTAATCCATTTTTTTCATTTATAATTGGTTATTTTTGTTCATCATCACTTTCCAGTAGATCTTTATTTGAAGAGAAAAACCCAGGGTTATTCTCTGCTTGGATCAAATAAATTACCTTTTCATTCATTTTATTCGATTATTCTGATCACCTCTTTGATAATAATTAACTTATCCGTTTCTATTTTCCTCTTTCTTCATTTAACACCTTTTATAGTCTAGTTGTTATATCAGATTTTAAGTGCTTCGTATTACTGCATATAGCTTATTACTTAAATGCGACAAAATAATTTTATTTTTATTTTGTGTACAGGTATTTAAAGTTTCAAGTAGTCTAATTAGCAAGTCCACGCTAGAATTACAAAATTCTACAAGTAAACAGTTGGTGATGACAGTTTGAAAGATTAAAAACCATTTTTCGGTATTTACTTTCTCTTAAACGCTAGTAACAGTAATCAGCATTCAATGTGAAACTACCGGATACACAATAAAGCTATAACAACTCCTGTTCACCTGTCATCTAAAATTTGCAAGGCATGGATTCATCTTCTAGTTACAATAAAGTGAGAAAAGTACACCTCTTCCCTTGTACAAAATATTTATACCTAATTATACTTCTTTTACCTCTTTTGTATATAACTTTTATTTCACTTCATCTTACTAATAAATCAATGATTTTAGTTTTTGATTGCGGAAATTTACTGCTTTAGTTATTATTCATCATGCACTGACATTAGTTGGAGGGATATTGAAAAATTGTGAGCACTGGATAGCTGTTTCGTCCTGATATGGGACTTCCCAGTGATGCGCAGTCACACCCTATCAAGTTTTCAATGTTTCTCCAACTGAATTTAGTATGTATTGAATATGCCTTGAAGTTGATGATTACTTGAAGTCTCTCTATCTCTACCAACGTAATTTAAATATCAAACAGCTTTCAGGTGATTATTTAAATCATTGTGGTCGCTGGGTGTGTAAACATCCTTTTTATTTTTACTGTCAAAAAAACCGTTCGCAGTTTTACTATCAAATTTATCCCCATTTTCAAATATAAATGAAAAATAAAGCTTGAGTTTTAATCTGTTGGTGTTCGGCTTATTCGGGTTTTTGGAGAAAAATAGGCAGAGTTTCTGGTTAGAAGCAGTGAGTACACAGGATCCAGCTGTCCTAATTTCGTTTCAAGCATAAACAGAGTTTGAGTAGTTTCACACATAAGGAGTCAGTTTGGAAGTCTTCTGTTCTTAGATTAGATTTTCAAAAAATAGCCTATTTATAGCTATCAATAGCCAAAACCACTCGAAGTAAACGTGATATGCGCTTAGAGATTATGATAATTAATATTCAGGTCATCATAGCATCACACTCAACCTCACACTGTCTTCTCTTTCCCTTTCTGTTTGTAGAGTTGTCATCCCGTAATTACATAATATTCTTTACGTATTCCATGTATAACTGAATAATGCAAAGCGATGCACTGCATCTGCTAAACGTCATTTAGCAATAAGCTAAAGTCTAGGTTAAATGGTTAGCTTTCTACACCTTCAAATGGTAAACGCTTTTTTAAGGCAATTCATTTTATATCAATATGAAGAAAATCCGTTCGTCTTAGCAGTAGCATTAAGATTCTAATCTTATGCTGATTCTTTTCTACTGGCAAAACAAATTTATTCAATCAAAATTAGGAGTCTATACTAATATACCAATATTCTTCAGTTCTTATCTACCTACACCAAGTTGAAATACCTAACGTACTAACCTACCCAAGTTTCTGGGTGTTGAGATGATGCGTGAGCTGTTGCAGGTCAAAACAGAGAAAGTCGCCGTTGAACATGAAATGCAAAACATAAGAAACCTTAAACGCAACTCATCTTTTTATTTTTCTTTCCTCTATTTCTGACTTTTTCAAATTTTAGAGGTGATCGTTTTACTTTGCCTTTTGATTTTCTGGTTTATGAGCTTCAAATGAACGCCAAAGTGAGATAAAAAATGAATTAAATGTTTAGTGATCGAACTGATTCGCTAACACCAAAATATATATTCTATAAAGCACATTGTGACCGACAGTGAATAATCCCTGCTGTTTCTTCTTCGCTTTAAAATCAATTAACCTGTTATGTCTGAATAAAAGATAATAAAGTTGTAACAAATGTGACTGCAACAAATAATATGTCACATTCTTTAATGACTGATGGATTATCAACAAGTTTTTCAGTTGTCTAAAAGTAAAATCTGAGCACTATGATGAATTGTGATTCCATTCCAGTTGGTTTTTATGAACTGTTTTCTTGTGTGACGCATCTAATAAACCAACTTAAATAAAACCTTCTCAGTAATTTAGATTGAGCACTTGAGCAAAGAGTCTGCAACACAATGGTTCAATGAGTCAACAAGAGAAATAGTTTACCTTTTAAATATAAATATATAAATATATAAATAAATATAAAATTATTTCGAAAACATTGGTGGCCAGCTTAAACCTTCTGTCACCAAACATATTCCTCTGATTATATGACATCAAATTGTTCTCTTTTTACCCGTTTTAGTCATTCAAATATGTCAACAAATCTCGTTATGTACTCCTGTGCATTTTTGTAATTAATTCAACCTAAGGTTTTGCAAGTAAAAAAATTTTTAGGAAAAAACATCGTGGTAGAGAGCAATAGGCTGTAAAATGTACAATAATAAATTGTTACTACTCGTAAAATAGTAAGGTCGAAATAAATATTTTTGTGGTGGTTGACTGAACCACCGCCATTAAAATCATGTATGCTTTTCAATTCGTCCTCCTGCTTTAGACTAGACGATAACCAAACAACATCTGGTGGTTATATACTATTCCTTGTATTACTATCATAACTAACATTATTATGATGCTATAGCTTTTTTATTAGAAAACATTGTATAGGGAGTTAATTCGCTGAAATATCACATCCTTAGAATTCCATACTGTATTAAACACATTGTCTAGAATAAGTTGATTATTATTACTAAGGAAATATATATGGATATCATACAGTCACTGATCTACCTAACTAAAGTAATCTTAATTCAGAGACCTATAAATTCTTAGGTTCAATACCTAGTTATTGTTCTATCCTACGAAATGCAAAACTTTACGTGAAAACAAAACTCAGCCAATGTAATAAAATGTGGTTCCATATTCAATTTCTTCTACTTGATGTGGCACATAGTAATACAGGAATTATTACTGAAATGCTTTTTGAGAACTC